TTACAACTTCCCCAAACGTAAATTTTACTTCTTCTTGCAATATCATTGACTCAAAATTCTCAAAGTTTTGAGCACTATTGATTTTCTTAAGAGCACACTTGGTTTTCTTATGGAACATAAGAATCCGAGCAATTGAAGCTGCAATGAAGGATAAACCACAAACAGGTACAAGGACACCAATTATAACTTTGTCGTTATTTTTTTTGGAATTGCAAGCTCTAGTTAGGCCCGTAGCATCTCCACACAAGGGCCGTGTGAAATTGTTATTTGAGAAATCAAAATTCTGCAGGAATGGGAAGGCAATCCCTGTCGGGTCTGGGCCACTGAGATTGTTGTTGGAAAGATTTAAGCTCTGAATATATCGAAGTTTCCATTGTGTTAGAGGAAGTGACCCAGAGAGCTGGTTTCTCGAAAGATCCAAGCTTCTCAAATCTGATAATCTTCCTATATCTGACGGAATTGAGGCAGAGAACTTATTATCATTCAGATAAAGCACATTGAGGCTTGTCAACAGTCCAATTTCTGGTGGAATATTCCCACTAAAGCTGTTGTGTTGAAGTTGCAAAGAGACCACTTTGGTCCAATTGGAGAGCAGAGAAGGCAAGAGTGGACCGGTAAACCAATTATCAAATAAACTCAGATCGGTGAGGTTGTTCAGATTGGACAAGGACAGAGGCAGGTCCCCATTGAGTTTATTGGAAGCCAGGGTCAAGTAGGTGAGGCTGGTACAAAAACCAAGCTCAGAAGGGATTGAAGAATTTAAGGAATTGTTACTAAGATCAAGGTACCAGAGCTCTCTGAGTTGGCCTATAGAAGGCGGAATTTTCCCTTCAAGGTGATTGGAAGTCAGGTCCAAGTAGGTGAGGTTGGGACAAAGACCAAGCTCAGATGGGATTGAAGAGTCTAAGGAATTCATGTGAAGATCAAGGTACTGAAGCTCCCTGAGTTGGCCTATAGATGATGGAATTGGCCCTTCAAGGTGATTGGAAGCTAGGGCCAAGTAGGTGAGGTTGGTGCAAAGGCCAAGCTCAGAAGGGATTGAAGAGTTTAAGGAATTATAGCTAAGAGCAAGGTATTTAAGCTCCCTGAGTTGGACTATAGATGATGGAATTGGCCCTTCAAGGAAATTCGAAACGAAGTTAATACGCTGAAGACCAGATATCAAACCAATGTCTTCAGGAATAGCACCACCGAATTTGTTTTGTGCTAAATGAAGGTGTTTAAGCTTAGGAAAGCTTGTTGGCAATGGTCCTTGGAATTTGTTATTGTTGAGATTTAGAAACTCAAGCTTGCGCAGATTAGTAAATACCACTTCTGGTATTTGGCCAGTAAAGAAATTTCCAGACAAGTCAAGGAATGTCAAGTTCAAACATTTAGATATAAATTCTGGGAATTCTGAATAACGAAGACTGTTTAGAGAAAAATCAAGGTAAGTCAACGAAGGCATGCCTGAAAATTCAGACCAGTCAGGAGTTTCGAAGAAGTTGTTTCTTCCAAGAATCAAAAACTGTACCTTTTGGAGATTGCTGAGCTGATAGGGAATTACACCAGTGAGACT